TACCTGTATATATCCTGTTGGCTCTGTTCTAGAGAACCTAATACAAGGGTTATCACAGGTGTTACATACAGAGCTGAGGTTGGAAGTTGTCTTATTCAGCACCAGAGAATGATTCTGGAACTTTAGTCTCCAATCTGTGGCAGGGAGAACAGTCCCTACCCCCAACCTCAACCCCATGCTGTGTAGCACCATCAGTCCTGTGGTGCCTGCCTTCTGATGTGGGAGATGTTGGTTAATACTGGTGGGTATGGTTGAAGAGAAAATCCTAAAATGACTAGACACATAAAAATAACAGTGCATTTGAACCTTGCCTACTGTTTTAGCAGTCTGAGGCTTTCCCCAATAAAAAGGAAACAGCAGAAAGAAGTGAGCTGATTGCTTTGGAAGGGCACCTTGTCAGGGTCTTATCACAACTAAGTCTGAGGTCCCATGGCAGGTAAATATGTTCTGTTCTTGTTGACTGATCAGCTGAAGTCCTTAGACTTGCTGGCTAAAACCACAACCTGGAGAACTCAGACAGCTACCCTGAAAGGACACGGAGTCCCTTAGCTCAGACTTTCTAATAATATATTTCCTCCACAGTGCCTGGAAATTAAGCGTCCTTGTTTGTTTTATAGGAGACAGAGGCCTCCTCCTCTTTTCCCCTTCCTTAGAGTGGGAGTGATGTCCTCATCTCTTGCATTTCCAAGTGTAACAGCCTTGGAGAAAGCAGCTGTGGATTCTCTATGTTTTTTGTTCTAAAAGTTTCAGTCTTCCTATTCAGTGCATCACATGACCTAAACGTAACTTAGGGCAGGCTTCCTGGGTACTTGTGTGACGCATCTGGGTTTTGCAGGGTACTGACTAAACTGTAACTTATAGTTGCCATGGCAGGCCAGAGTGTGGGACTCGTGGCACACAGAGCACTGAGTAATTGTGCTTTCAGAAGTAAGGGCATCCCCAGAATCAGACGTCAGTGTCTTTAATTATGCAGGTCTCTAATGTGTCGGGGAACTAACTCTGGGCCTGAAGGATTTTCATGTGTCCTGTTGTTCCTAGATCGTCATGGTCAGAGGAAGGACTGTCTCACGAACATCATGCAGAATTTGGGGCTGTGGATGTTTGTGTGAAAGGCAGGTATAACTCACCTTGCAGTCTTTCCCCTGGAATAAACATGTCTTTCTGAGTTAATCTCAGGTAAAGGGTACCTTAGTTTATTTCCTATCTGGAATTCGAGTCTCTTACCACTAAAAATATAATGTTGGCAAAGAATGCTTTTCTTTCTACAAGAGGGGCAGTGTGGTGAAGTGATTAAGTGCAGGGACTCTGGAGCCAGATAGGCCTGGCTTTGTTACTTAATAGCCATGTGACCTTGGGCAGGTTACTTAACCTCTCTATGCTTCTGTTTCCTCGTCTACAAAAAGGGGATAGTAGTGGCAACTACTTGGTAGGTTTGTGGTAAGGAGAAAATGAATTAACATGTATAAAGCACTTGGAATAATACCTGGCACAAAGTTAAGTGCTATGTAAGGGTTGTTATTTTTCACCAGAGCAGAGTGTGATTTATTTATTATTTACTATTTATTTATATATTTAGTAGAGACAGGATCTTGCTCTGTCACCCAGGCTAGAAGGAGTGGCGTCATTGTAGCTCACTGCAGCGTCTAACCCTGGGCTAAAGCAATCCTCCTGCCTCAGCCTTCTGAGTAGCTGGGATTACAGGTATATACCACTATACCCAGGTACTTTTTTAAAATTTTTTGTAGATATGGGATCTATGTTATCCAGGCTGATCTCAATCTCCTGGGCTCAAGCAGTCCTCTTGTCTTAGCCACCCAAAGTGTTGGAATTATAGGCATGAGCCACCACACCTAGCCTAGAATGTGAAATATTAATAAAAGGATTTCAAGGCAAAGCTAAGACTACACTCAGTAGTCTTGGCCTAGGAGGCAGGAGGCCTGATCTCTCCGATCATGCTTCCCACTAAGTAGTGGGCTAATTCTGAGCCAGTCAGAGCTTTAGTTCCTTCATTTTAAAATGATAGCCCAAGTGCCCATGAACAGATGACTAGATAAATGAAGGGTGGCATACAAATATAATGCAATATTCAGCCATAAGAAAGAAGTTCTGACACATTCTACAATAGGGATGAACATTGAAGACATTATGCTAAATGAAATAAAGCACAGACAAAACACAAAAAGACAACTATTGGACAATTCCACTTACATGAGGGATCTAGAATAGGCAAATGCATGGAGATAATAAGTAGACTTGAGGCTACTATTGCAGGGCTGGCAGAGGGGGAAATGGACAGTGATTTCTTAATGGTTATGGTGTTTCTTTTTTGGGTGATGAAAAAGTTTTAGACACAGATAGCGGTGAGACACAACATTGTGGATGTACTTCATGCCACTAAATTGTACACTGTGTGGCAAAGTTCATGTTATATATATATTTTACCATATGCAAAATCAAACATATAATTAAAAAGGAGTATTGAAAAGAGAGAAGTAGGCTAACTTTGAAAGAGAAAGTCACTTACTACCAACTTTGAAACTTTTATAGGCCGTGGGGCTACCAGAAAAAAAAAAAATGAGGTAGTGACATTAGCCCACAGGTCGTGTCCAGCTCCAGTCTGCTGTGAAGTCACCCCTGCTCCTCTCCAGCACTTTTGTGGCTGTTGTTTTCTTTGGATACAGCTTGAGATCCTTCTTCCCAGACCCCTCTCTGTCCCCATGGCACTTCTACTGGCCCTAACTCTGCCTGCCTCAGGGGCCTGCTGTGCTATAACTAGCTTTTTTTTTTACTCACATGTGGCTTATTAGCCCCTTATGGGCAGGGGCTGGATCTTTTCCTGCATTTGTGCCTCCCCCTCTGCCAAGTCCCTTACTCAAAATGAGTCAAAATGGGTGCTTGAAGATGACTCCTCCCAGTGTTCCTTGCTGTGAGGAACTTTGGAGGATCTGCTGGCAGCGTGCTCTAGACCTGGGCTTTGCAAGCATCGTAAACTTCTGCTCTGCTCCCTGTAACAAATACATATGACTTTGTGACCGAGAACATACGTACATACACACACATACTTAAAGCTTCATGGAATGATACTATATGTGATACAATCAAGATTTTGAATTCATTCAGTTTTTTTAAATACAGTTATACTGATTTTTGTAACCCATTATGTCCTGTTTACAAACCTTGTTATTAGGCAGCTGGCTCACTTGGGTGTGCCTGCCACTGGCAGAGAGGGGGAGCCCCTGGGTTGGGCCACAGTGAGGAATGAAGGGGGTCCATGGGAGTGGAGGCAGAAGTGGGCTCAGTGCTGGCTGAGGTAAAGGATGCCCACCCACCCTCACACCCCCTAACAAGGCCACCAACAGGGGGACCAGTGGTGCTCATTCTGAGTCTATTTAGTTGGTTTAGTTGAATAACCCTTTCTTGCTGCTGTGTACTAGTTGTTGCGTTTTGGACTCAGCACTTGGACCCTCTTCCTCCTGGAGAACAATGTGCAGAATTTACCTTCCTGGCCAGGCTCTGACCCCTACTGTGTCAGGTACCTCACCATTCAATCCCAGCAAGTGAGGCTGGTTCTGCTTGCCATTTTGGTTGGTCGGAAAATGATGTCCCTACAAAGGAGTTGAAGGAGCAATGAGCCTGGCCCTTTTGATTCTGGAACCTATGCACAGAGAAGACAACCTCCATGGTGTTGGGAGCTGGCTGCAGTGGGGACCCCCTACCTGCCCTGGGCTCTTTTTCTAAAGCAGATGAGAGAAGTTCTCTCTCTCTCTCTCTCTCTCTCTCTCTCTCTCTCTCTCTCTGTCTCTCTCTCTCTCTCCTCTCTCTCTTCTCCTCTCTCTTCTCTCTCTTCTCTCTCTCTTCCTCTCCTTCCTCCTCTCCTCTCTCTCTCTCTCTCTCTCTCTCTCTCTCTCTCTCTCTCCTCCCTCTCTCTCTCTCTCTCTCTCTCCTCTCTCTCTCTCTCTCTCCTCTCTCTTCTTCTCTCTTCCTCTCTCTCTCTCTCTGCTCTCCTCTCTTCCTCTCTTCTCTCTCTCTCTCTCTCCTCTCTCTCCTCTCTTCTCTCTTCTCTCCTCTCTCTGTCTCTCTCTCTCTGTCTCGCTCTCTCTCGTCTCTCTCTCTCTCTCAGTGCCTGCAGGGAGAAAGCACAGGTATTTCAGCCTTTCTCTGGTGTCATAAAGTGCCTAATCAGCATAATTCTTGTCCTTATTGTCCTTGTTAGTTCCACCTGTTCTACCGAAAAGCCACTTCTCCTGCTTGACCAAAGTGAGGATTGCAGTACACTCTAACTTTCTTGTAGGACCAGGGAATACATGCCTCAGTGTTTTGAGTAGCTGATTCAGGATATAGCATATATCCAGAACAAGCCAGAAGAATTGAAGTTAAGGGAGATTTTCATTGCTTAAGGACATTCATTGGTGAGCGGGAAAGTTCTCTCTGCCAGCTTCTCCACGCCAACCATGACACATGTGCACAGCCAATGTCCAACCCCCTTGTGACAGGTTGTGCTGGGGTCGGCCATCAAAGGGTAAGTGTGATATAGCTGTTGTGTACCCATAATGATTTTTTTTTTTTAAGGTTAAAGGCAATACCTTTTGGTAACTGCCCAGAATTACTTGGTGAGACTGCCTCATAGCAACTTCATGGACAAGAATTTAGAAATGATTGTGGAGCCTTTCCCTATTGGCCAGAGGAAGTACCCATGGCTTTTGGTAGAAGTAATGCTCACCAGCTAAGAGCTCAAGAGGACTCTAACATAACTCATGCCAGTACCCTCTCTGTGGAGATCAAGTTTCCCCAGTGTTCTGGGCTTTAAGCTCCTTGGTGAAAACAGGCTGGAGAGTCAGTTCTTCCCTCAGTCACGTCTTACCCCATCCTCCTCAAAGACATCATTTGAAACTGGCTCCCAAGACTCTTTTATGATAGCCATCTCTTACAGCTGTTTTTGGGTTACTACCTCTGTAATTTCCAACAAGCTGCCATTTTCTATCTCCTGCTTATGTTTGTAGTCACTGGATGCTTTGAGGCAGATGCTCCTGTCGGGCTCCCTATGGTGACAGTCACAGTAATGATTGTGGTGTGGCCAAGAACTTGCATAAGCCCTCCACCATGGACAATGCTCTGCAAACATCAGGTAAGCTCAGGGTGGACCACATTTACTGTACCTACCCTTTCCTACAGGTATTAACATAAGTTAATAGAAGTATGTCTCTTGAGCAATTCCAAAATCCTGGCCAGAACTATTACTGGGGGAGAATCCCACTATGATAGATTTATTGCATTTTATGCCTCCAAGTCCTTTACTTCTATAGCCAGATGCTCTGGATGTAGCTTTGCAATTCTTCCTACTAAAGGATTCATTTCTCAGTTTCCTTTATCTGGGCTGGTCTTGTGACTTGCTTGGGCCGATAGAATGCCACAGAAATGACAGGGTGACCATTCTGAGCCCAAGCCTCAAAAATCCTTGTCTATTTGCTTTCTTGCGGCATGAGAACATGCTTGGGCTGTTCGACTGGAAGATTAGAGTCATATGGAGCAGACAGCTCAATCACCTCAGGGACCTGACCAAAGTCAGCCTAGATGAGCTGACTTCTGTGAGTGAGGCTGGCCAAGGTCAGCAGAGTGGCTTTGATGGGTACCCAGACATGTGAGCAATAAATGCTTATTGTTGCATGTCACTGAGGCTCTGAGAGCTGTTTGTTACATAGCATTAGTGTGGCCATAAATAACTGACATGCCCATTTAGAATGATGCACTCCTTGAAGAATTATTAGAAGCAACTTTCACCTTCAGATAAAATAAGTTCCTGCAGATACCTTCTCCACTTGCGTTGCCCCAAGCTGAATATCTGTCATTGGTCTGCAGTGATACAAAATGTGTTTAATGAACACAAGAAGTGAAAGTCAGTCTTTATTAGGCATCAAACGAATAGGAGGGTGGAAGCAAAGTCAAGAAGAGTGACTACCTATATTTCCATAGGCCTTGGATAATACCCCATCTACCCAGATGAAGTGAATCATCTGTAACAGTTAACATTCATTGTGTGGGCATCTGAATAAAACTCCTCTACATGTAGAGTAATAGTATGTACAGATCATTGGAAGATAATCTTTAGAAGACTTACTGGTGGGAAATGGCAATGTTTGGCTTCCCTAATTTTAGAATGGACTAGAATAGAAGCACAGACAGTAGTCAGCCAAAACAAATTCCTGACTCCAAGACAGTTGTGCTCTTATCAGTTATAACATGATTATCCTTCTCCTCAGCTGGAGTCCCTAAACTCTGACACCTAAGAGTAAGTAAAAGGACTCTATTCTACATTTTAAAATACTATACAGACCAGAATCTATAGCAGGGTTTATAAGACAGACAGCAAGCTTCTGGTTATTTGGTTATATTAATATATGTGGCCATATATTCTGATAATGATTGAATGAAGCATATGAGGAACTTCATTAATGTGCCTTTGGTCATTCAAGGCCTTCCATCAATCAGTCTCAGCAAGGGCACTTACTGAAAGTGAGTGTTGTCTCTCAGAGATTGATTTATAGACAAGAGACAGTACAAACAAGTTCCCGCCTTTCCCAGCGAAACACCAACGTCTTCTCCCTTTTCTTACTCGTCTCAAATCAGCCTCTGACCTCAGAGCTGTGGACATACACTATGTGCCTTTAGGCAGGAGGATCCTTGAGTTGGTTCCTGGTCCCAGGGGCCTGTGGCTTTCCCTCACAGATGCCTCTGGCTCTCAGACCTTGGCATGAGCATGCAGAACGACCACTGTTCTGGCTCTGTACAGGAAAACCGTTGTGCGCTGCTGCCCAGTGGCCGAGTAAGACCCTAGGAGGGCAGGCAGAGGCAGCAGCTGAGATGGTGATGCAGAGCACACTCCCCTCTGGCTTCTCTGCGGTCTTGAGAGGACACCATGGTTTTTAAATGAGCATTTACAAGGGAGTGAGACAACACAGACTCAGTGTGATTAACATAAAGATTTCTTCCTTTCTAAGTGAAATGTGTGAGTCATTTTTCTTATAAGACTGCTGTGATTCAAGTAAAGTTTTATGGCCAAATTCTGAAACCAAATTCTGGACAAATATAGGATTTATAAACACTTGATATATTGTACAAGCTGTAGAAAGACAGACTTGCCATTAGGCAATGGCATCTTTACAAAATTCATTTTCTAAAATTGAGAAGTTCCACAGGAAATAGGCTAACCATAAGGCCTAGTAGCTGGATACTGCAAAAAAAAAAAAAGCCCCACAAAAATGAAGGAATACAGACACGTAAGACTCCTATCCACAGGTACTTGTACTTGAGGTGAAGGAAGGTCTATTTATAATAGCCCTTCCCCCAGACCAGCATTGCTCAAAGTGGGGTCTCTGGACCAGCACCATCTGACAACTTGTCAGAAACACCATTTCCTGGGCCTCTTCTTTCCAGACCTGCTGAGACTTGGAAACTCTGGGGATTCTATGCACACTAAAGTTTGGAACTACAAGTTTATGAGATACAATCTGCCTCACAAGGTACACAGGAAATGGCCTTTCTTATACAAAAAGATTTAGTGTTTAAGGCTGTGGTCCCCAGCTCCCAGGCTGTGGACTGGTACCATCTGCGGTGTATTAGAAACCGGGCCACATAGCAGGAGGTGATCGGTGGCAAGCGAGTGAATTTTCATCTGTATTTACAGCTGTTCCCTATCACTCGCATCACCACCTGAGCTCTGCCTCCTGTCAGATCTGCAGCGGCATTAGATTCTACATTATGGTGAATTGTATAATTATTATATATTACAATGTAATATTAATAATAAAGTGCACCATAAATGTAATGCGCTTGAATCATCCTGAAACCATTCCTACTCCCCCAACCCTGTCCGTGGAAAAAATTCTCTGCCATGAAAATCGGTCCCTGGTTCCAAAAAAGTTAGTGACTGTTGTATGTAAGGCATTCATTTATATGTAAGAGATGATCTTCTCTCTGTGCTACTAGGATGGTACTGGTATTAGGTCATTAAATATGAAACATCCGATTTTGAATAAAAAACTATCTCAAGCAGTACAGTTAATCAAAATATGCACCTAAACTATTGACACAGTTTTGCCATCTCATTGGTAGCTTGTTTATGCCAGCAGCGAACAAGCCTGGAGAGCAAGTGGAAAGGCATTTTTCACAGCTTGTTGAGAATGGAATATTTTTCCTTGCAAGAAGTGGTCCAGAGCCTGGAAAAATGGTAGTCAGTTGGTGTAAGGACTGGTGAATATGCTAGACGATGAACAGTTTCAAAGTCCAGCTGCTATAGTTTGAGCAATATTGTTTGTGCGATGTGCGGTTGAATGTTGTCTTGCAGGAGGATTGGCCTCTCTCTCTTGATCAACCTCAGCTGCTTAATCATAAGAATCCCCATCATTTCATCCAGTTGGCTGCAGTAGACATCTGCTGTAATACCAGCAGATGTGGACAATACCAGCACTGGACTGCCAAACAGACACCATTAGCTTTTTTGATGAATATTCAGTTTTGGACTGTTTCAGTACTTCATTTTTATCCAACCATTATGCCAAATGCATTTTTCATCACATGTAACAATACGGTGTAGAAATGGTTCACTTTTCTGTTGTGACAGCAAAGAAAGGCAGGTTTACGATGATTTTTCCTCTGAAACTCATTTAGTTCATGTGGAATCCATTTATCTCACTTCTTTACCATGCTGATTTATTTCAAATGGTCCAATATTGTTGGAATAGTAATGTAGGTTGAGATGGATTTGCTTCCACTATAGCTTCCAGCTCTTCATTATCCACCTTGGTCTCATGTCGCCCATTTTCAGATTAAAACCACCAAAACAGAACTTCTCAAACCATCAACATACTATGTGTTCATAGCCACATCCTTCCCAAATACTTTGTTGATATTTCAAGCTGTCTGTACTGCATTGGTTCCAGGACAGAACTCATATTTGAAAAAAACATGAATTTTTGACTTATCCATGGTTTCAGAAAAATTGCTCTAAAAATTTTTTTGAAAGATAATCACAAGCTAAACCATGCATTTGAAAGACTGAGGATGTATCTTCACAATATAAATAAAACAAGTATCAAAAGGAAATGTCAGAGATATCAACTATCAAACATAAGGAAATCGGACATTTCATGCTTAATAACCTATCCTTGGGATTAATAGTCATTCAGATAGTTCTTGGTGTTCTGTAATTGACAAGTTTTGTTGCTATGCACAAATCAACTAAGCCATTTGGTTACAGCAGCACCTTACTTACTGGAACCAATGTCTGTGTCAATAAAGAAAACCTAAGTTATGTTGTGGTAACAAGTCACTCCCAAACTTTCCTAACATTAACCCTTTGCATTCGGATGTCGAGTGCTGACACGATTAGCAAAAATTATAGAGATTAAAATTACTCTTTGAATGTATCAATAATTTGAAATATAAAAAATCCAAATAAGTTTGTATGAAAAGAAACTCCAGTTTTTTATTCTACTGGTGTGCTTTGTAAAATCTGGGGTATTTAAAAAATTAAGTCCTGAGTAGAATAAAGGAATCAAGAAAAAAGCAAGCGAGTGCAAAGGCTTAAAAGTTTCTTTCATTTACATAGTATACCTGTAACAGCTTGGCAGGGGAACTCTATTCCACATAGTCACTCAGGAATGAAGGCTGATGGGATATCTACCCAACATGTGCTTCATGATTATCATGACCCATGACAGGGTACAGGATGTGGTGAACTACACACTGGCTTTTAAAGTTTCCATGTGGAATTGACACATAACTTCCACTAATATTTCATGGAGAAGCAAGTCACATGGCCAAGTCTAACTTCAAAAGTGGGCAAGAAGTACATCCTATCTTGTGCCCAGAAAAACAACTGGGGTATTTGAGAATGGCCCTGATAACTCCTGGTCAAGGTTATGAGTTTGTCATCATGTGCAAACCTGTGTATTAACATTAACAAAACAACAGAGCCCAGAGTCTTCAGTTTTTACATTCATTCCTTATCTTGTTTGATCCTATTGACCTTCAAATCCATACCCTCTCTCCCAAGTTTTTTTTTTTTTTTGGAAACAGAATCTTGCTTTGTCACCCAGGCTGGAGTGCTTGATCACAGCTCACTGCAGCCTTGAACTCCTGGCTCAAGCAATCCTCCTGCCTCAGCTTCCCAAGTAGCTGGGACTACCAGTATATGCCAGGCTGATTCTCCCCTGCCCCCTACTGGCACCTTGATCTTGGACCAGCTAATTTTAACATAGGTTTTGTAGGTGGGGTTTTGCTACATTGCCCAGGCTGGTCTTGAACTCCTAACCTCAAGTGATCCTCCCTCCTTAGCCTCCCAAATGCTGGGATTTCAGGCATATGCCACTGTACCTAGCCCCAAGATCTTTTTTGATCAAACTTTTTCCACTTTTTTAAAGTTAAAAAAGTTGAATATACATACAGAAAAGCAAACAGATCATGAGTATGCAGCCTAGTGAATGGTCTCAGAATGAATGTCACAGTGTACCTACCCCACAGGCCAAGAAATCAGCCATGACCAAGAGCTCACCAGCCCCTTTGGCCTTCTCCCAAGTATCTCTTCCCCCTACCCTCAGGGCAACACTCTCCTGACTTTTAACTCCATACTTCAGTTATTTTGTTACACTCATCCATTCAACCAGTGTTTATCATCCAGGCACCGGAACTTCTCTGTCCTGGCAGATGGTGTTACAAACTCAAGTACAAAATTTGATCCTAGTGAGCTTCCTTCCTGTCAGAAGTCAGGATTATTTTCTGGAGGGTGACATATTTTAGACAGGGTTGGGGATAGGTGAGCTCTCTGAAATCTCAGGGACTAGACCTAATTAATTAATATTTTATTTCCTGTTTAAGCACATGCAGTACTTCCTACCAAAGTAGACTGGACCATAGTGGAGTCTCTCTGCTGGCTGACATGAGAAATAGG